GAGAGAGAGAGAGAGAGAGAGAGAGAGAGAGAGAGAGAGAGAGAGAGTGAGAAAGAAAGAGAGGAAGATAGAAAGTGAATGTAAAAACAAAAATAGAGGCCAATAGTGCAAGAGAAATTGCAAAAGTACCTGGTAAATGTGACATATATATAAAGAATATTGTTAATAATCAATCAAAATGGTGTTTTATTTTAGATTTTTGTTCACGAAAAACATATGACAAAAGATTGTTAATATCAATTAAAATCAGATAGTTAATAATCATAAAATATACTCATGTTTTCTGTTCTTCTGGCATAAAGAAACTAGTGTAGTATTTTAATTAAAACGTTACCAATTAATGTGCAAGTCTTATAAAAATGTCAACGTATGGTCGATTTTCGCAATGTCTATTCGTACACAAATATAAATAATTTTAAATCTAATAATATTTTGTCGACCCTGCGTCCGGAGATGCGGATATCATGACGTCATGCCGTCTGGATATTCGCAATAGGTGGATTTCCTTTCGTCCTCAGCAGGAAGAAAGATCCCATTCTCCCTGGAATGATTTATGCCTCCCGATAGGGCCCTTTCAACATGAATGGCAAATCCTGCCGTAACCGAACAGCGTCAGACCCGGCAGCGCATTAAAGTGTCCATTATCTCCGCCCGGCAACGCCAAGTCTCACCTTCGCGGAAATGTATTTTTGCTTGCATGTCGAGGGACCTTGGGAATTGTGTACGCTTTTGAAAGACGTCCTTTTATCCATTCATATCCATGCTCCATGTCTCACTTTCGTGCTACAAAGAACATTTCAATGGACAAGAAAAAGTATACACTAAGAATTTATTTCTATGTCAATTTTTATTGATGTTTTTAACCAAACTTTCAAAATTTTTAATTGAAATAATTCCCATATTTTTTTAATAGAATCCCGCAACAGCAGAGTTCATAACGACTTTGCACTTCGAATCCCAATCATCAGATTTTAATATCCATCCGACTAAACTATTACAGTTAGAATTTTTTCTTAAAAAATACAAGCTTGCGAAAATTTAGGTGAAGAGGAACACGGAACACCCAGATAACTAAAGGCTAAATCTGAGTCCCGTCCCTTTTATAACCCTGTCTGCTTAAGTTTTAATAATTTCTCAAGATACTTTAGCATGTTACATGTTTTATTGTGAAATTAAGATACAAATACACGCAATCGAACAGATTTTTGAGTTTTTGTTCCTAACCCCTAACAAGTATTTAAACTTTTTAAAAGCGCCACAGATAAGTAAAAAGGATATGTTAGGTCGTAGGTTATTTTGGCTTCATTCGACTTTGCACACGGCAACCGATTTTAGTCATTGGACATCCCGTTAATATCTCCAGTTCTTTATTAGCTTTTAATAAGGCCTAGAGCTTTTTTAAGAGGTTCTGTGCATATCTTTCAGTGCGTCTTGGCATTTCCTTTGCCAGGAGTATGAATTTAAACCCACTAGGTCTTTAAACCATCTGATGACATGTTCCGGTAGTTCTTCTGCTTCCTGGTAGTATCTAGAAGGGCTTGTTTGTGCTACTCCGAGTCTATACCAGGAATGGGAAGACCACTATTTTTACGGATCGGATCGAAACCGGGGATATCAGAGCTACCACACTTTTATTCTTAGCGGTTCATTACTACATTACCTCAGTCAAGTGAGTTCGTTCTTTTGATCAGCTCTCGAGCGGTACGCCGAGCATTAGTCTATACATATGCCTCCTTTGCAGTGTAAGGTCAGCTTTTCTTCGATTAATCTAGTCCGATCATATCCAAAGTGTAATAGTTCTGAGGTTAGTTTCCGAGATGATTTTTTATTGAACTTTCTCGTATGGATCTGTCATTAAATGCACTCTTATGGTATGAAACGAACCGGTGCAAGGCCGACAGGCGTCCGAACCTTATCTCTCATCGAACTGGGAGTTGACTAGTTAAGTTAAAAGCGCGTAACAAAGTTAATCGAGTCCTGTAATACATACATCATACATATACATGTAAACTCAGTCGCAGCTACGACAATATCATTAATAAAATTCAATATACATAACATACATATATCATCTCATCAAATTCTACACATCAAACATTTTTCACATAGTCTAATTTTTCAACAATTTAGCTTTCCTCTTCCAATTTATCCCCTTCTATATAATCCTGAAAGGATAATCTAGCCGAACCATTACCAACGTTTTTTCCCTTCGTCGGCTCTTTTCACCTCAAAGAAGCAGACGCCTTATACAAAATGTCTTTTTTACACCGACTTCCTTCCCCACCCCTTCAAAATCCAACATATATAAACACAAAACAGCAATATCTCACTGGCACTCTCTACACGACTCATAAGAATGACACATCTATACAGAAAACAAACACTTTGAGTGAGTAGAAATACTTTCATTGAATATAAAAAATATATTTTGCATTGTATAAATTCACTTTTTTCCACATCCTACATGTATTTGTTAAATGTAAACAATATTTGTAAATCCCAGGCCCTGAACATGATCACAATAAAGATCGAAACGTTGGCACGATAAAGAAAATGTTTTTCTGAACAATACATCACACCAGACCGCATCTCACGATTTCTGAACAATAAAATTTAACTAACAATTTATTTCATGGTTTTGCTCATAAAATTTAACTAAGAATGTATTTCTTGGTTTTGCTCATAAAATTTAACTAACAATTTATTTCATGGTTTTGCTCATAAAATTAATTACACCATTCGTAATTTTGTCGTTATATTAATTACAACATTCTTATTTTAATATAAACCAATTTAAACGAGATCACAAAATGCATGAGTTTTTATAAAAATTACATAATTATGATGGTTAGGCAGAAAATTTATCAAAATACCTGAATAACTTTATTTAAAACAATTAAATTTAACTAACAATTTATTACATGGTTGTGCTCATAAAATTTAACGAACAATTTATTACATGGTTTTGTTCAAAATAATGCATTAAGAACAAAAGACGCGTTGCGATAGTGATACTGATTTGTGATACACGCTGTTTGATTGTACGTGGCGTGCGCTTGACGTCACATAGATGTGCACACGCTACCCAAACGTTACAAGGCGTCGGATAGCATCGGGTAGCGTCGTATAGCGTTGCATCGGGTAAGTGTGTTCCCGGCTTGAGACATGAGGCTATCTTACTGAGAAAACTGAATCGCCGTCAAACTCTGTGGAATACAGTGCGAATACGTCTTATCTTTTCAAACATTTGAAAACCAAACACCCTTGAACAATTTTCTCAAAACTGGATATCAATAAAATTGAAAATTTTCATTATGTCAAAATGTGTTGGCAGCTTTTCCTTGTTCTTACCTACGTAACCACTGTATGAAAAAATACTTAAAAATGAAAAAAATGCAATTTCTTGAATATTTTAACGCACGAGCGTATTTTGACTAAAGTCTATATTAGTAAGTTCATCATTTCTGAATAAACGATAATGTACCCATCTGAGAAAGTACTCGTTAGTGTCGAATAATTGTCGTAACTGTAACTGTCAAGTAACTGTCGACACTTGAGTAGTACTGAATATTTCTGGTATCAAGTACTGGTATCGAATATTTTCTGGTATGTCATGTCACTAGCGGAAAAGTGCCTTTATAAAGTTGTTTGGCAATATATTTGAAACCGTGTTTATTAAAATATTTGATAGAATTGAATTTTATCCTGCTTTGCCCACCTTTTTAACCTTTTTCAATTAACAAAGACGGCAGACCATGCTGATAATAAATATCTTTTGTCACAAAATTACCAATCTAAACAAGACTAACGCATTAATCACAGGATGTGTCGGAGATAAATAATTGATATTAGACTTTTTCAGCTAGTTGACTATTTTTAATAGTCTAGAAGTTGCTCTACACGAGAATTAACCTTACATATAATTAGCGAATTTTCCAACGCTGGAAGTGCAAGTTTCCAACGTGCAGTTTGTCATTTCAAAAATTCCCGGGTCATCTGTTTTTCTTCTGTTTTTTTTTTCTTCTTCTCGTCATATGCTCAACATAGTCCATCCTAATTAAACTACATTTTATACAAGCGAAAGCTTACAAAAAAATTTGAAAATATAACACTTATTATGTTCGGTTTTCTGTAGAGGTGAAATTCACGAAACAAACGAGAAAAGCACTTGGCCGTGAAGAAACCTGCAAAAGCGGAATGCCTGATCACTGATAATTAAGCATTTAACGATGTTAACGTCCCATTAACCTAGTCGTCAACTTTGTTAAGCGGGTGGTGAGCTGACAAAATTTCATTAATTAAAACCGCCCTTGGACCGGAAAAATAACGTGCCCCTCAGACCACAATTAATCCGAAGTGTTAATTAAGGCTTAATCAACTAATGAAAGAGGCGAATAACAAGTACGAAGAAAAAGTACTTCGTGACGTACGGCTTTACACAGAATATCTCTCCTAATTTATTTACCTTCTGGTCGAGGCGACGTCTCCCCGTTCTACAGCTAACAGGAACTTCTTTTCATCTAGGGAGAGCTGCGCCATCTCCTGGTGAGGCCTTATCACGTTCTCCTCTTCCATCATCCCGTGTATGCTGTGCCGCTGAAAAACAAAAAAAAAGTTTCAGACACATGTCAAAATATGAATATATATTGGGGGGGGGGGAATTTGTGCGGGTTAGGTGTTTGGCCAATTGGTAAACAGTGGTCGTTTTGGATCTTCGTTTCGTCTCCAAGTCCAATATGCAGTTAATCAGCTGTATTAGTAAATAAACTAAAAATTGTAAGGAAACATAAAAGGAATAAGAAAGAGAGACAGAGAGTGGGGGAAAAAGAGAGATGGATAGATAGATAAATTGATATATAGAAAGATAGATAGGTAGATGGATAGATAGATAACTGGATAGATAGAAAGATAGATATATAGATGGATAGAGAGATAGATAGATACATACAGAGAGAGAGAAAGAGAGAGAGAGAGAGAAAAAGATATCCAGNAGAGAAACACTTTGAGTGAAGATGATCTCAATAAAGATCGAAACGTTGGCACGATAAAGAAAATGTTTTTCTGAAACCTACATCACCCACGATTTCTGAATAATTAGATAGTTGAATATATATATATTGTCACGAGGCGCTAGGGGTTGCCTATGGACACGTTTAGGTGGGACAAATGCCCCTTCCATCACAGAAGGTAGGTCAATTAAATTTCGGGCTAATAAGCACTCGGCTCCTGATCTCTGCAGCGGACTGATCCTAGCTTCTCTAATTCTCCGTTTTTCCCGTTTAGGGCCGCTAGATGAGTTATAAAATTTTGTTGTATTTTATCTAATGTGTCCGTTAATGATTTCTTTAAGGAGCTAAATTTATCCTTAATATTTTCCCCTATTTTTAATTTGAATTTTTCTAGATCGGCCGTTAATAGTGTGTCCGGACTCTGGACTGAACATGCGGTATAATTGAAAGATTCCGTACGGGGCATGGGCATTTTAATCCATTTTTCCCTACTGCGGATTTTGGGTTCACCTTCGAAATGGTAGAACTTACCACATTTGTTGCATTTAACGGACTCGCTCGTGACTGCGTGATCGCAAAACTTGCACGGAACTTTGGGGATAGCACCCTGTTTTTGTGCTGATTCGGACTCGGTAGTTTTTATTTGTTGCTGGGACATTTCTGGGTAGTAATAAGGGGTATTTAGGCGCATAATATATTTATAAATTTAAAATTGTATAGAAATTTACTTTTACCTCCTGAATTTATTTTTAAGCCAGACAAAGTGTTGTCAAGTATGTTTTGGTGTATTTAAATTTATTTTTGCTACCAGGGTAGTAAACCCAATTAATATTGCGTATAGGGACACAAAGTTTTAAAACTTCTTCGCAATCGACGTGTCTGTGCACGTTTCAATCCTGCGAAAACCTGCAGGTTACAAGAAAAAAAAATTCTACTGGGGACTCAAAATTTTTGCTTTTCTCTTTTCTGTGGCAAGGGATCATTCCACGTTCAAGCTACTAGGTATCAGCTTTGCCGTGAACCACGCTCTGCTACCAGGTGTCAGCTTTGCTCTATCCTGCGACGGACTTCGGTTACCTAAACTTACCTTAAGTCCGGGAAATGGTTCGCAGTTTCCAAAGCCCACGTACAGCGAAATCAGCAGAGTGCGCTGTGATGAAAGCTTGGGGAAAATTAAAATAAAGAAAAGTAAAATGAAAAGCAAAAGTAAAACAAAACCTTCTTGACCAAAAATAAATTTATTAACTTAATGGTAAAATTTATACAAACTAAAATAAACAGGCCTCAAACTTTCGTGTGGCAATTAATAATTGAAAATTGATAATTGAGCGAACGGAGGAGCCTAATCGGTGGAGACAAAAAGCACTTACGGTTTAACCAGTTAGGGAAGCAAGGATAAGTCCGCTGCAGAGATCAAAAGCCGAGTGCTTATTAGCCCGAAATTTAATTGATCTANATAAATTATATAAATATCATCAGATCAACACAAAGACTGACATTTTAACATGCTTAATTTATATTATTTGTCGTATTAGGCAACATTAAGAAAATAAAAATTCATAAAAAACACTATCAAATATAGAAAAAACCTTTTTTGTGATGCAGTTATTTTTTCCGTAAAATAAATTTATTTTTTAGTTGACTCTTCGTTATATCAAATTAAACCTTTTTAACTTTAAATTATCCGGTTTTAATTTCATATGAAATTTTTTAATATTTGATTTAACCCTTAATACCTCAAATTAAACCTATTTAAACCAATTAATCAAATTAACACTTTCAAATTTGTAATTAATCTTTTTTATATCAAATCAACCCTTTTTGTATCAAGTTAAATTTTTCTTCTATATTGACCCTTATTTATTATTTTCCTTAAATTGTTTTAATGCCTTAATGGAAGGCTTAATTTGAAATTAAACAAAAGTTAGTTTGAAGGAGTTAAAAAGGTTAATATGAATTTAAAATTGTACTTCGGTGTTAAGTTGACGAATTCATGGTAAAATTTATGGGAAAAAGCAAATACAGTCTGTGGCTTTATACATAAATAGCTTTTTGAATTGTTGTTCATGTTGTGCGTTAGGGTAAATAATACATGTTAAACACGTAAAAGGCAGAAATATTTCTAAAAACAGCCGGCTTGACTCGAGTAAAAACGGCATTTAGACGTTGCAGACGTAGAAAGTAAATAGGGACAAAGATTCGGGGATTCCGCTGATCCGGCGTTGTCCCGTAAAGCTCACCCCGAAAGATAAATGTCCCGGAGTAAAGGCAGGATTAAAGGCATCAGAAGAAAATCTTATATGGAGACAGGACTCGGGCTTAAAGGGGGAAGTAGTCCACAGTCTTGAGTGGAATTCGTTAAAGGAACCATGTCCGAGTATCACTGGCTTTTTCCCTGCGTTTTCTCACTTATTACTGAACAGATTTGACGGACATGTTGCATATGTAAAATTCGAAAAATTGAATATGCAATGCTTACGCGTTAAGAATGAAGAAAAACTTAATTTATAAAAAACATGCACACAAAAAAAGGAACATTTGGACTATAAAGTGAGCAAAAATAAATCGCAATGTTAGTAATTAATCCGTGATTTAGTTAGAAAACTGTTTTAATGTTGTTAATTAATGTTTGTCACTTATTACTGAACAGATTGCACGAACAAATGTTACTTTATAAAATAGGTTACACGTTCAGAATATTTGTTCTCAAAGATTAAGACTTAATTTATAAAACACACACACACTCGCGCGCACGCGAACACACAAAGAAACATTTGTACTATAAACTGAGCAAAAATAAATCGCGATGTTTGTAATTAATCCGTGGTTTAGTTAGAAAACTGTTTTAATATTTAATTGATTAGGACAAAAAACAGAAAGAAAAATAACACAGTTTATTTTAATTTTAGCGATCATTCGGAGATCGTGAGATGCGGTCTGATGTGACGTAGGTTTTAGATAAATATTTTCTATATCATGGCAACGTTTCTATCCTTATTGAGATCATCTTCAGGGCCTGGGATTTATAAATATTGTTTGAATTTTACAAATACATGTAGGATGTGAAAAAAATGAATTTATACAATGCTTGAATATTTTAGATTAAAAGAAATGAATTTATACAATGCTAGAAAATTTTATATTGAAAAAATGAATTTATACAATTCTAGGGAATTTTATATTAAAAGAAATGAATTTATACAATGCTAGAAAATGTTAGATTAAAAAAAGAATTTAAACAATGCTAGAAAATTTTAGATTCAATCAAAGTATTTGTACTCGCTCAAAGTGTTTGTTTTCCGTGTAGTTGTGTCATTCTTGTGAGTCGTGTTGAGAGTGCCGCCAGTGAGATATATTTTTTCAATATAAAATTTTCTAGCATTGTATAAATTCATTTTTTTAATCTAAAATTTTCTAGCATTGTATAAATTCATTTTTTTAATCTAAAATTTTTTAGCATTGTATAAATTCATTTTTTATCTAAATTTTTTTAGCATTGTGTAAATTCATTTTTTTATCTAAATTTTTTTAGCATTGTATAAATTCAATTTTTTTATCTAATTTTTTTTAGCATTGTGTAAATTCATTTTTTTATCTAATTTTTTTTAGCATTGTATAAATTCATTTTTTTATCTAAAATGTTTTAGCATTGTGTAAATTCATTTTTTTATCTAATTTTTTTAGCATTGTATAAATTCATTTTTTTTATCTAAATTTTTTGATCATTGTATAAATTCATTTTTTTCACATCCTACATGCATTTGTAAAATTTAAACAATGTATATAAATCCCAGGCTCTGAAGATGTCTCATTAAAGATCGAAACATTGGCATGCTAAAGAAAATGTTTTTCTAAAACCTACGTCACACCAGACCGCATCTCACGATCTCCGAATAATCATTGACTAACGGTCACTAAACACCACACATTTTAATTTTAACAACAAATTAATTAAAACAGTAAACATGAAAACTAATCCGTGACGTAGTATTTTTGTCCTTTTTTCCTCTTTAATCCAATCTATATTCTGTTTAATTATAAAAAATTACCACCTCAAACTCGAGTTTTGCAATATTATTATAAGTATGACTAGTCAAGGGCACTGGTAAGAGGATATTGAGAGTCTTCCGACGAACCCAAAATGCCAATGGATGGCCTGAATATGGTACATTTAGTGACTTTTTAAATTTTTTTATTATTATTTTGTGATCGTGTTTGTGTTATAGCTAATCGTAATTCTATTTCTCTTTACTTATTGGTACTGTTTTCAGTCTGCTTGTCGTATATTTTAGTGCTGTCATGTTGTGTCGGTGTGGTGATTTGAATCGGCTTTTATAGTGATCTCAGTCCAGTTGTGGTTTGCTATTAGTTTTAGTGATTTTTAAGTCCAGATTTATACAAAATAATACAAATTTATACTGTTATCGTTTTCCAGTCTGTTAGAGTTCAAGTATGTTTTAAGTTCATAACATACGTAGTTGAAATTCTATTAAAAAATGCTGTTAATAACGTCTAGTGTAGCGAGTTTGTCATCAACGTATCTTTATAAGTTTGTAATGTATTTTCAAATTCGGGAAAATATTTCTC